TATGCCAGTACCATGCTGCTTTGGTTACTACAGCTTTATAGTATATTTTGAAATGAAATATTATGACACATCCAGCTGTTCTTTTTACTCAGGGCTGCTTTGGTTATTTGGAGAAATTTGTAGTACTGTTCAAATTGTAGGATTTTTTCCTTTTCTGTGAAAAATATTTGTATTTTCATAAGGATTATAGTAAACTTTGGGTAGTATGGACATTTATCTGGTTTGGTTGAAAAGCCCACAAGAGCGTTTCAGGGATGGAAAGCCAAGACACTTTGGCAAAAAGTGTCCTACATGAAGGACCTCAGTGAGTGAGACCCCAGAGGAAAGAAGTGGTCATCAAAGAAGGATGTACTTTTCTCTGAAGGGAGGAGAGAACTTCCACTTTGCTTATGGCCTTGTCTAAATATTGAAGGAGTTTGTGGATTAAAAAGGCTTTCATAGCCTAGGCAGATCATGTCAAGATTCTCATGTGGTCACTGACATCATACATAAGAGTGTCAATTGTTACATTAACAGGAGTCATTGTGTACTAACTTCCCATGCAGCACCTCTGTTCTCAAAGAGTGGTATTATGAGAGTTAATAGTAAAGCTTGTCCCCAAAGATTTACTTCATTTTAGTGTATTAAGTGGAGGATATTCTTATGTTCCATAAGTTTTAGCTAAGCCTAAGTAACCAACTCCATTGCGTGTTTCCTTAGGTGCTTCTTAGATTAATGATAAAACTTGTTCTCAAAGAAAAAAAAGTATATTAACACAACAATTAAAAGAAAAATAAGAAGGGAAACAGGAGGAAGGGTGGGAATTAGGGAGGGAGGATGAGGTGGGAAGTGTCATTATGTACTTAAAACTGTATGTATGAGATACATGAAATTTGTTCCATTTATATAAATAAAAATAATTAAAAATATTATTTTCCCCAATCTATGAATATGGGATTCTTCCCATTTTTTGGTATCTTCTTTAATTTCATCAGTGTTTTATAAATTTTCATTGTAGCTACCTTTTACCTCCTTGATTACATGTGTTTCTAGGTATTTTATTATTTGTAGCTAATGGAAATGGGGTTGCTTCCTTGATTTCTTTTTCAGATAATTTGCTATTGGTATATAAACATGCCACTCATTTCTGTATGTTCACTCTGTACCTTGAAACTTTACTGAATTTATCAGTTCTAATAGCTGTGTATGTGTATGTGTGTATGCCTTGGATTTTTCTATGTTACCTCAAAGAAGTGACAATTTTACTTTCTCCTTTCTAGTTTGGATGCCCTTTATTTCTTTCTCTTGCCTAATTGCTGTACCCTGGACTTTGAGAACCATGTTGAATTGAGTGTTTAAAGTTGGCATTCATATGGAAAGCCGTGGCAAAAAAAATGACCTAAATGAAAGATCTCTGTGAGTGAGATCGCAGTGGGAAGAACGGGCCATCAAAGAAGGAAGTACCTTTCTCTGAAGGGAGCCGAGAACTTCCACTTTGACTATGACCTTGTCTAAATAAGATCGGAGTTGGAGAACTCAAGAGGCTTCCATAGCTTTGGCAGCTCATGACAAGAGCCTTGGGTGATTACTGACGCCATAAATAAGAGTGTCAATTGCTAAATCAACAACAGGAGTCACTGTGCACTTACTCCCCATGAAGGATTTCTGTCCTTAATGTTGTACTATGTGAATTAACGGTATAACTAGTTCTCAAACAGTACTTTCTACTTTGTGTTTCTGTGTGGGTGCAAACTGTTGAAATCTACTTAGTATATACTAAATTGATCTTCTGTATATAAAGATAATTGAAAATGAATCTTGATGTGAATGGGATGGGAGAGGGAGTGGGAGATGGGATGGTTGCAGGTGGGAGGGAGGTTATGAGGGGAAAAAGCTGCTATAACTTTGGAAATTTATATTTATATAAAATAAAATTTAAATATTAATATTTAATAAAGATTTATTAAATAAAGTTAAAAAATAAAGTGGGCATTCATGTCTATTTCAAGATCTTAGAGGAAAAGCTTTCAACTTTGTTTAGTATATTAAGTATTAGTTTGTTGTATATGGCCTTTGTTGTGTTGACACACATTTCTTCTCTATTTGATGTTTTCACCCTGAAGAGATGTTGAGTTTTTTTTTTTTTTCAGGATTATTTTAGGGTCTGGTGCCGTGACACAGTGGGTTAAAACCCTGGCCTGAAGCGCTGACATCCCATATGGGCGCCAGTTTTAATCCTGGCTGCTCCTCTTTCAATCCAGCTCTCTGCTATGGCCTGGGATAGCAGTGGAGGATGGTCCAAGTCCTTGGGCCCCTGCACCCATGTGGGAGACCCAGAAGAAGCTCCTGGCTTCAGATCGGTGCAAGTCCAGCTGTTGTGGCCATCTGGGGGAGTGAACCAGTGGGTGAAGATCTCTTTCTCTGTCTCTATCTCTCTCTGTAACTCTTTCAAAATAAATAAAATAGTTCTTTAAAAAAAGAATTATTTTGTTTATTTTGATAGAGTTATGGAGAGAAATAGAGCCAGGGAGAGAGAAGGAGGAAAAGGGAGGGAAGAAGGGAGGGAGGGAGGAGGAGAGAGAGAGAGAGAGTTGGTCTTCCATTCTGCTGGTTCACTCCCCAAATGACTGCAATGGCCAGGGCTGAGCTGTTCTGAAGCCAGGAGCCAGGAGCCAGTTCCAGGTCTCCCAGGTGGGTGCAGAGGCCCAAGGAGTTGGGCCATCTACTGCTTTCCCAGGCAATAGCAGACAGCTGGCTCAGGAGTAGCCGGGACTTGAACCAGCACCCATATGGGGTGCCGGTGCTGCAGGCTGAGGCTTCAACCGCCTGTGCCACAGGGCCAGCCCTGAGATGTTGAGTTTTACAAATTGCTCTTTGTTCATCTATTGAGAGGATCATGTGGCTTTTGTCCTGGATTCTGTTAAGGTGATGGATCCTTTTTATTGATTTGCATATGTCAGGCCACCCTTGTATTCTGGGGTAAATCTTACTTGAATGTGGCATATAATCTCTTTGATATCCTTTAGTCTTTATAACCATATTACAAAGAAGTTATTAATGTTTTATACATATTTACTCAATTATTTTATGAATTAGCTTTTCTGGTATTGCTTTTTAATCTTTCCTACAAAAGTTCTAGATTTTTAACTAGAGACTAGGAAAAGTATCATGATGGTTGGAATGCAATAATAGTAACAATTAATAACAATAGTAATGGCACCTACTATGATCTGAATATTTGTGTCCCCATAAAATTCGTATTTTGAAATAATAATCCCCAAGATAGTATTAGGAGGTGAGACTTTGGGAGGTGATTAGGTCCTGAGAGCAGAGTCCTCATGAATGACACTGCCTTTAAAAAGAGGTTCCAGAGGGCACCTATGCTCTTTCCACCATGTAAGGACACACCAAGAAGGCATCATTTATAAACCAGAAAGCAGACCCTCATCAGACACCAAATCTGCTGGTACCTTGTTCCTGAACTTCAGCGTCTCCGTTAAGTTTCCGCTACTTATAAGATACCGAATCCATGGAGTTTTCTTACAACAGCCCAACTGGACAAAGATTGAAGGTAATACCTACAGAATTCTTAAGTTGTTTCACTTATATACATTAACTAATTTAGTCCTTAGAACACTGAGTACAATTTTTATTCTCCACTTACCAGATGAGGAAACTGAGGTGTGGAGCAGTGAAATAGCTTGTTCAAATGCATCGTGTTGATAATGAAACCAGGATTTGAACCTTGTGTGATGCTTCAGGCTGTACTTGAATCTTGACTCTAGAACCTTGCTGTCATTCTTCACCTAACTTCATCTTTGGCTCAGATCAAGATTTCTCTTTCCGGGGTCCTTATAGTTAAATTAGCAAGTACTGTATTCCAAAGCCAAAGGCAAATATTAATTGCCTTGCCCACTATTTTTTATTTATAGAAAAGACAATTTGAAGTCAGTTGAATAAGGTACAGACTTTTTCAACTTTCAGGCAATGGGGAAAGTGAACAAAGGAAAAATTGCTGTATTTCTTGGATTACCAAGTCTTTAGTCTGAAAATTAATATGGTTACAAGAATGAGTTGTGGGGTTCCATTCTGAAATTTCATTTCTTGAATGGAGATAGATGTATAGCTCAGGAATGTCTCAACAAATTCTACAGAAGCACATGGTAAACTTTTAGATTGTAAGCTTCTTAAGGGCAGGAACTGAATTTTTGTACCTATCTTAATACATGACAAGTAGGCACCCAATAAGTAATCTTTTTTTTATAGGCAATACCGTTATCAAGTTAAAAATTAGCCAGCTACAGGACTGGCACTGTGGCACAGCAGGTCAAAGCCCTGGCCTGCAGTGCCAGGATCCCATATGGGCGGAGGTTCAAGTCCCAGCTATTCCACTTCCAATCCAACTTCCTGTTAATGCATCTGGGAAAGTAGCAGAGGATAGCTCAAGTCCTTGAGCTCCTGTAGCCAGGTGGGAGAACCAGAAGCAGCTCCTGGCTCTTAGCTCTGGATCAGCTCAGCTCCAGCTGTTGCAGCCATTTGGGAAGTGAACCATCAGATGGAAGACCATTCTCTGTTTCTACCTCTTTTTGTAACTCTTTCAAATAAATAAAATAGCCAGCTATAGAGTTACTGAATTTTGAGTCCTACTGATGGTTACCTTGGTAGGTCCAGGCCTATTGACTTTACAGGTGTTAAACAGCTCAAGGGCCAGATGTTCTCCAACCCTGGAGAGAAATGGGCTGTATGTTATTTCCATACCTTGCTTTCATATGAACTTCCAATTTCTCCTTCAGAATTTGGCTCAACTGGCACTTTCTCCCCATAACTTCCCTTTTTACTTAAGTGATAGTCACATTCTCAGTGCTCCCACAAATTATGTGTGTAGTTCTTAAAACCTTTTATGTGTACCTGTTTATTTTTCTTATAATTGAGAGTTCCTTCTGGGTAAGGAATAGTTCTTATTAATAAGTGACACAGGGCCTGAGGAATTAATTTATAACTACATAGATCAGACCTGAGGCTCCAACTGCTTTGTGCATTTAATGAGGAAAGAAAGATGAAAATTATTATTTCACATTGTTTTACATTTACTGAATTACTGAATATTTATTAAGTATCTGCAATATAGCAGGCGAAACAGAGACAAGTTCTCTGTCCAGAGTGACTTTCAATTTTTTCCACAATATCCAAGTACTCATCATAAAAAAAAAACCATTTTGCTGAATCAGTACCCATTCTTTGATTAATCTTCATGTACCGTTTTTGCAAGTGTTTTTTCAAACAGTGAATAATGCTGTAAACCAATAAGTATTCCAAACATTGTCTGAAAGACTAGAGGAATCACCATTGCTTTTATCTCTGTTTGACAAAGCAGCATCCAATGGAGTAAAACCCTTCCTTTCGATGGCAGTGGAACTGTATGATATCTGAAAAAGAAAAAGAGTTAATCACATCTCCTGAATATATCTTCTATCAAGTTTACTGATTTCACCTAAACTGATAATTTCCACTACAGGTCTATAAGGTAGATAGCAAAAAAAAAAAAAAGAAAAAAAATGCAAGAAAGAAAAAAACCCCAAAATTAGTTATTTGGAACACGGAACTAATACATTTTGATAGAAAGAAGAAAAGGAACAAACAGACTTACCTGACTGCCAGGCGTCCATTTTTAGAAAAAGCCAAACTAGAGGGATATAAAATACCACATACTATGCCAACCAGTGAACTTCTAAGGACACAGTTTTCCTTGCTTATGTTACCTGAAAAACAAAAGTAAATTTGGTTTATCTTTAAAAAACTCAGGATAAGAACCTTGAAGATAGTGTGGTGACTCATAGAGAAGTTATGTACAATATTTTCAACCACAGTGAAACAGTACAGAGTATATTAGAAATTCAAAGTCTATGGCATGTAACCAGCTAAATGAATCACATTTTAAAAGTGCTTTTATTGTGCTTCATCATTTGGAGAATTACCCCTTACATTTATGGTTGTTGAAGAAGGATTTTCATAAGAATCTGAGTACTAAACTAGCAGACCAAATCCAAGTTAATACATTTATCGTCTCCTACATGAAAGGCACGTGCTAGGGATACCATGGTGCAAAGACAATCCAATTTCTTACCTCTGGCAGGTCTACCACAGAAGAAAGAATCAGACAGATATTTAAGTGCACACAAGGATTTTACAGTAAAGTGTTTAGAGAATGTATCTAGAAACCTAACTTACACTAAGGGAATCAGGGAAAGTTTCTCTGCAGAAGACATTTAAGCAGGGACCTGAAGAATGAACAGGGGCTAGAGGCTCCAGCAATTACTAACTGTGAAACTTGTGACAGATACTATTTAACACAGATATCATTTAACATAGAATTTTTTTTTTTTTGACATGCAGAGTGCACAGAGAGAGAGAGAGAGACAGGGAGAAAGGTCTTCCTTTTTCCGTTGGTTCACCCCGCAATGGCCGCTGCGGCTGGTGTGCTGCCGCCTGCACACCGTGCTGATCCGAAGCCAGGAGCCGGGTGTTTTTCCTGGTCTCCCTTGCAGGTGCAGGGCCCAAGCGCTTGGGCCATCCTCCACTGCACTCCCGGGCCACAGCAGAGAGCTGGACTGGAAGAGGAGCAACCGGGACAGAATCCGGCGCCCCGACCGGGACTAGAACTCGGGGTGCCGGCGCCGCAGACGGAGGATTAGCCTATTGGGCCGCGGTGCCAGCCAGAATATCTTTTTTTAAAGATTTATTTATTTATTTGAAAGTTGGAGTTAGAGAGAGAGGACAGGCAGAGAGGCAGAGAGAGAGAGAGAGAGTCTTCCATCCGCTGGTTCACTCCCCAATTGGTCACAATGGCTGGAGCTGTGCCTATCCAAAGCCAAGAGCCAGGAGCTGCCTCCAGGTCTCCCACGCAGGTGCAAGGGTCCAAGGACTTGAGCCATCTTCTACTGCTTTCCCAGGCCATAGCAGAGAGCTGGATCAGAAGTGGGACAGTGGGACTTGAACCAGCACCCATATGGGATGCCAGCACTGCAGGTGGCAGCTTTACCTGCTATGCCACAGCACCGGCCCCAGTACAGTATCTTTTAATTCTCACAGCAATTCTATGAGATAAGTACAATTAGGGTTAATTCAGAGGTAACACAACTAAGGTTCACAGATTAAATGACTTGCTCGATATCACAAAACTTACGTAGTAGGAAGTAGAATCTGAGGTCATATGTGTTTATTCTTTCTCCAGTAACACTTTTATTTTTTAGTGTCCTTGAACTTGCTTCAGTTTGACTGCCTATCTATAAAAAGGAGACAATACTACTTGCTCTGCTTGATCAGAACTGTCATGTGGATTACATAAAACAGTGTGGGGGCCGACACTGTGGGGAAGCAGGTAAAGCTGCTGCCTGCGGTGCTAGCATCCCATATGGGCACCAGTTTGGGTCCCGGCTGCTCTACTTCCTATCTGGCTCTCTTCTATGGCCGGGGAAAGCAGTGGAGGATGGCCCCAGTCCTTGGACCCTTGCACCCAGGTGGGAGAATGAAGAAGCTCCTGGCTCCTGGCTCCGGATCAGCCCGGCTTTGACCACTACAGCCATTGGGGAGTGAGCCAGTGGATGGAAGACCTGTCTCTCCATGCCTCTGCCTCTCTGTGACTCTGCCTTTCAAATAAATAAATTAAAACCAAAAAAACCCAAAACTGTGTGAATATACTTTGTAAGTGTACTGAATGTAAGAGATCATCACTAACATATGTTAATTAGTAACTCTACTTGGACATGACTATATTATACATTCATGTTTTTAAATTTACCTGAATATGGGCTGCATGTTTGGCCAAGGGTTACATCCAGTTAGGGTGCCTGCATTCCACATTGGAGTGCCTGGGTTTGAGACCTGGCTTGAGCGCAATTCCAGATTCTTGCTAATGCAGATCCTGGGAGGTAACAGTGATGGCTCAAGTAATTGAGCTTCTGCCATCCACATGGGAGACCTGGATTATGTTTCTGGATCTTGATTCTGGCCCAAGCCTAGCCTTGGCTGTTGCAGGCATTTAGCAAATAAACTAGTGGATGGAAGCTTCTGTCTTACAAAAAAAAAAAAAAAAAAAAAAAAAAAAAAAAAAAAAATTAACGATTCATTTATTTGAAAGACAGAGTTACAGAGGGAGGTAGAGACAGAGATGCAGAGAGTTCTTCCATCTGCTGGTTCACTCCCCAAATGGCAACAATGGCCAGAGCCGAGCCGATCTGAAGTAAGGAACCAAGAGTTTATTCTGGGTCTCCCATGTGGATGCAGGAACCCAAGCACTTGGGCTATCCTCCGCTGCTTTCCCAGGTGCATTAGGAGGGAGCTGGATTGGAAGTGCAGCAGCCTGGACTTGAACCAGCGGTGCCCATATGGGATGCCAGCTCTGCAAGCCCAGGCTTTAACCCACAGCACTGGCCCTGCAAAAAAAAATTTAAAACAAATTTACCTGAATACAAAGCATCGGTTACAAGGAGCTTGTAAGCAACTATGGTAGATAAAAATGGAAGTGTAGTCAATGATGCATATGTTTTCAAAGCATCATGTTTAACCTTGAAGCAATGTCTGAAAATGAAGTTTGCCAGTATTCCAGAAAAACCAGCTGTTGTGCCAAGGGTCAGTGTTCCATATATATTTAAGGTCCTAGTAGGAAAAAAAGAGAAAAATTAAGTCTAACATAATAGCATCCTAATGGATGCTGTCCTAAGTAGTTATTTGCTATTATATATTAACAGAACATAAAATCTTTCTTTGGCATGTTATATTACCATAGTTTTAATGATCTTTGATTATTCTAACATTTACTGTAAATGGGTGAAATGGTCATTATTCCATTCAATTATTTATAACCATTGTCTATGTCCCATAATGTTATATCCCCATAATACCCTAAAGTAGGGTATTTTGGCTTTTTACTTGTTAAAGTTCTTATTGGATGAAGTAATAAACCTTTTTACTATAATGTAAATTTAAAATACGTTATCTCAAATACTATGAAAGAGAGAGGGAGCGGGTGGGGGGAGGAAGGGAATATCATTATGTTCTTTTAATTTATCTATAAACTACACTGAATCTGTTAAAAACTAGTAGTTAAAAAACAGAAATTTAAAAAAATCTATTAAATCAAAAATAAAGAAGTAAAATAAATTAAACCCTAAAAGTAGACCTAAAAAATTTTTCTTGAGCATTTACTGTGTGAAAACCATTTTCTAAGTGTTGAGGATGGGGCTGAGAAAAAATTAAAATCTACAATATTCTCTTTCTGAGAATATGTAGGATGGTTCTAATATGGAAGTTTAAAAAAAATTATTCATCTATTTGAGAGGTAGATTTGCAGACAGAGAGGAAGAGACAGGGAGGCAGAGAGTACTTCCATCTGCTGGTTTATTCCCCAAATGGCCACAATGGCCAGAGCTAGGCTGATCTGAAGCCAGGAGCCAGGAACTTCTTCCAGGTCTCCTATGTAGGCACAGGGGCCTGAGCTCTTGGGCCATCCTCTGCTGCTTTTCCAAGCCATAAGCAGAGAGCTGGTTTGAAGAGGAGCAGCCTAGACATGAAATGGTGTCCATATGGATGCTGGCACTGCAGGCAGAGGCTTAACCTATACACCACAGTGCTGGCCCCTCTCCTAATTACTGTTAATCAAAAAATATTTACTACAATGTTTCAGCAATAATTTTGGACCATTTTTAAGAAGTAAATTATCCACAATCCCAATAAAGCACTATTTTCATCTGTCCATGTTTCTGTCCAGTTTTTTAAAACAGGTTTTCTTCAAAACAAACCCAATAAAGTTAGTAGGATCTTAGATACTCCTCAGAAACAATGGCAGTACAAAAGATGTGCAAATAAAGTTATCAACTTTCAGTCTGGGTATCTCTTACTTTTCTTTTCGAAGATATTCAAATTTTTTTTCTATGATTTCGATGACCATTGGTCTTCCGAGTTTTGCATCTCTTAGAGAAGGACTAGGCTGACCACGTGTATATGTTGCCATTCTGATGTCCTGGAAAACACAAAATTCCAGAATCACATAGCTAATGATACTAATACTAACAAAAACCTTAAAATTCTATAGGTTTAAATGAAAAATACATTCAGAATCTAGTAATGTGCCACATACCATGTCATGTGTTCTCACATACTTTCTATGATTGATTCAATCAACATTTAACTAAGCTCTTATTATGTTAGACAAAGGCCTTTTGAGTCACACAATAACTTTGAGAAACTGGTAGGATAATAATCATCTCTTGTGTTAAAGATGATAAAACAGGTTCAAAAAGTTTGACTTGTGGTAGGATTTAGTGTAGAAGGATAAATTTCCCAAAATACTAAGTTTTTGTCTTCTGTACAGTTTCCCCATTTCCTCAGCCCAGCAAAGTAGCCAGGCCCTATTTGCTGTAGCTCCTCTGTTGAGGAGTAGAAACAATTGCACTTGGTGACAACTATCTATCCTGTTTCTTTTGAAAGCTGGAGCTCATTTTGGAGATTATGTTGAGTTTCCTGAAGAAGTAAGAGAAAAGTGGGATTATCTTGGAGAATAGTGAGGGAGAAAATCAGACAGGACTCTGTTCTAGGAAGTGGACCATGGCTATCTTGGATTATGAAAGTTATATACCCAGTTTTCTAATTGTACCTGAGGCAGAAGCAGGGCCTTTTACCAGAAATGACTATTTAGTATACCAGGGATCCTAGGCTTAGGACACTGGGCTCTGTAGTTCAAAGGTTCCTATGTTCCCAGGGTAATGAATAGATAGTTGCCAACATCAAGAAACCACGAGGCCTTGGCTGGTAGCATAACAGAAGCCAATGAGGTAAAAACAAACTGCTTTGCTCTGGATAATAAGGCTCTTGGGTCTCTGAAAAGTCTTAACAATAACATGATTCAAATCTTTTGCCATTATGACAATTTAGGGTTTAAGAGTAGTATTTAATTTTATTTAAAGAAGGAAATACGAAAATTTTTACAAATCCAAATTTGGTGTTACAAATATTTACCCATTACAACAGTAAATTATGAAAATTTATTGCTTTTTCCCTCTATCTCCTCTAGACTAGCCAATGTATAGATACAAAATTAAAGAGCCTTCAAAATTTTAACACCAATCTCCATTTTAACAACTTTTATAATGAAGGGTCTATACTAAATTCCAAATTTCAGGAGTTGTGGGCAAGCGAAGCAGAGTAGATTATATATAATGAACAGTTTAGCAGTTCTGAACCTGTAGTGTGCACAATAAACACAAAGGGGTGTTTATTTTAAATGCAGTCTTTTGAGCTCTTTCCTGAGGTATAAGGATTCAATGAGTGGGGTAAGACCTACAAAGTGCATTTTAATAGCACCATGTGCTTCTACTGTCATGGTTAATGGATGTATGTTGAACACCTGTGAAGTAGGCATTTGGCGTGTAATTGATATGTACCAATCCTAACTGTGCTGAAGGGATAAACCATGCATTGCCCAATGTCATCCACATATATATAGAAGGTAGGGGCTTCTTTGAACCTTCTTATGGTGTTAAAAAAAAAAGAGTAATAATGGACCAGTTTCTTAAACTGTGTCATTCCAGAACAGTGCTTCAGTCTCTTTAAAATATTTGGCAGGAGAGGAAAAAAAAAACAACAAATTACAATTTTTCAGGAAACAATTGCTTCCCCCTGACATTCACATGAAGAATGGAAGAGAGGAGAGTAGTGTCAAAGAGATTCTGTACCTAGCCCATGTAGTATACTATGAAGTCAGGTATCAGTCAGTAATGTCATGTGATTAACTCAATATGTTACATAAAGTTTTGTTTTGCTGTCTTTCAAATGATTGAAGACCTCCAACTCTCACAAAGAAAACTTGAAGGCAATGTCTTGTACCAATCTGCTACCTAGTCTACACACTCAGTTTTGTATTAGGAAAACAAACACCTAGGAATTTGAATACAGGACATGAGATGAGAACAGCTAATATTTACTGAGTACTTGCTTAGTCTTTGCAAGGCACTATCAAAATAACTGCTTTCCTTACAGTCTCCCCATTAGAAGAAAGGAATAAGACTTTTACCAAACATTGAAAGATAAAGATTTTGTGATAACGAATACTTTATCTAAAAATCAATTAGTCCAAGCTTTCAACTTGTCACTACACTCATACCAATAAGAGTGCATCAATGTAGTTTTACAGTCTGCACAGCGTTTTAAACCTTTATAATGCTTTTATGTATGTCACTTTACCCGACTTTCAGGGTTCTATTCTATATTCGTTTATCATTTAAAGAGCACCCTTAAAAGCCAGGCCTCTGAGTAGCAGGCAGTCAACAACAAAACAAAAACAGGAAATTTAAACGCAGAATGACGGTTCATTTTTTTTTAAAAGGAATATGGTCAAGGAAGAAATATCAACCGGAGAAAGTGATATTTACATGAATATCCGAAAGAGGAGAAGGGAGGAGCAGGGAAGTATTCCAAGTTGAAGGAAAATCCCGTACAAAGGATCGAAAGCAAGAGAAAAGCTTCATGAATAGTCTTTGGGTCTTCCACGTTTTCTGCGCTTCCTACGTAGGGGACTTGATATTGCCCTGAATGGGCACGGGCGCTGTTCATTGCAGATTTTCAGATTCACTTTCTGTGAGTCACCTCAGAAGAGGCTGCAGAAAGCACTGTTTATACAACTCCGGGCTTCTGCCTACCTTGGGCGCTTCCCCAGTTCCTAATGGTACCACACCGGCATCTTTCACGTCTGCACCAGCCTCACCCCTCAGCGCCGCCATTTTGGCAGCTCACGTGACTTGCGAGTGGGCGGGACCCAGAACGCCCTGGGCTGGAAGTGGAGTTGGTTTACGACTCTCGCCTCTCGCCGACAGCCCGAAGCAGCCCCCACCCAGTCAAAAGCCGCGCCCTCCATCCTCGCTGTGATTGGGCTCCGCGTGCAGGAATTACCGCCACTCATTGGCTTCGTGGGCCAGACGCCCGTGGGCCCGCCCCTCCTGCCCTCCTGGATTTCCTCCCCCTGCTATTTGTCAGTCAACCCTCCCCCTTCTGCAGCCGTGCTGAGCGGCGAGGGGCGTCCCGAGTGTAGCAGTGTTACTGCGCGCCTTCCTCTCCTCAGGGCAACCCTGTTAGCTGGGGACTAGCCGCCCCCATCCCCTTTACTGCTTGCAGGAACTCGCCTGTCAGACCCAGCCCGTGTGTTAAGGTTCTGATTTCTCGGACGCCTCCTCTTCAGAGCCCCAACACGACCACCCAGCTCCGTCAGAGCAGCCTCGACTAGCCTCCTCCCCTCGCACCGACTACTCCTCTCTCCCAGTCTTTAGTCCCCTCATATTTCATCCTTTCGGCCCCCTCGGAAAGGGACCGGAGAGAAATTTGCCCTCCTTCCTCTCAGACGCTTCCCTTGTCAGCGGGTGTGTTGGGGTGGGGGTTGGGGGCGCCTCGAGAAGGCTTGGCGTTCTTTTGTGCTTGGTAAATGCCCAGCGCGATTTCCCAGACCGACAACCCCCGACCCTCCAGTCTCCATGTCTTAGAGAAGCCAAATTCGAGAGTTATATAATTTCTAGTGCTGCTGTTTCTTCTGCCTGAGGAAACACTTCGTCGCGTGGAGGGTGCAGGACATTTTAGTGCTCTTTTATATAAAAACAGGGTAGGGGCAGGGTGGCCAGCGGTGGCAGAGAGGTGGCTTGTCTTTTCTGCAAAAGGAAGGTGGGTAGTTCGGAGAGATTGAGAGAAAGGGTGGCTGTGGAAGCCAAGCAGCTGCACGCTCTCATTTAGGAAATCGCGGACCGTTTGCACAAGCTGATGCTTACACGCCTAATACTACTACAGCGTCTCTGAAAACACCTTTGGGGGAAGGTTTGGCTTCTCTCGAACTGGCTCAGTGTTTATCCTCGCCGGATAGGGAGCTGCTTGGATGCGAAGAGATGGCATGATGTGAATGATTCCAGTGTGAAGAAATCTGCTTCGCCAACTCATCCTGCATCAAGTGCCCATTGAGTAGCACTGTCACTTTAATGTCTCCATGCCAAGGGATTGCTTTCCTCCTTTTCAATCCTCTCAGTTAATACACGAGAGGATCAGATTCAGAGGGGCATTAAGGATCAAACCGGGAGGGGAGGGTGCTTGGAGAGCACAGAAGAAAAAAAATGAAAGTGACTGCAAGCTGGATCCTGTCTTACTAAGGGGGTGAGATTTGGAACTTCTGGTCCAGTAAATAGAAAGGGGCCTTTCAGTCTGTGTTCTGCCCCAAAGAACTGTTCAAACTTACACATCTTTTTTACCCCCCTCCGGGGGAAACAAGTTTAGGATTTTCTCTAAAGATTTGAAGATCTTTGTAATTAAACAGTTCATCTTTGCATTTGATCCTGTGTAAAGTAATGAGACAGCCATCTGAATTTGGTTTGTGCCTTAATTGAGTTAGTCATTGAACTTCCAAATATGTTACTGCCTGAAGAGGGGTTTTAATAATTTCCTATGCTTACAATAATTTTCTAAGCTTAAAAGAAATAGAATAAATATATTTTTCTCTAAACTGTGGACAGCGTCGAAAGTTTGGTTGTGGAAAAAATACATCATTATTTTCTTTATCTGAAATAGAAGACTCAGTTTGGATTTAAAAACTGAACAGTGAAGTGGTTTGCAACAGTTACCTGGCTGTTGGCTTCAATCCAACTGGATCAAGCTGAGACCTGAAAAGAGATCTTGAATCCTGTGGCAGTGGACAGATCCAAGAATGCCAGTCAAGAAGAAAGGTGGGCTATGAGGTTCCTATATAATATATGTTTCTCCTTTTCCTTGGTTGTGGTATTTGTAATTTAAGTTGTATTCCATTTGAGAGTAAAATTTTTTTGGGTTTGGGGAAATATTTGTTGTAATAATATCTTTTCAGGGGTTCATCCTTCAGCAATATTATTTTGCTCAAGAAAGATGAAGTAGGGCTGTCGTACTTAATTATAGACATTTGTGATTTCATAAATTGAGGTTGTCTGTATCACCACTTTTAATACGAGTAGAGCTAGTACCACAAATTGGGGATGTTTTTTAGCTTGTTTTCTTATTTTGTTAAAGGTTACTTTAAAATAGTCGTTTAAAAAGAAAATTGAACAGTGGAGCTCTTCTTCATAGATTTAAAATTTAGCAGGCTAATTACATAGTTGTAAAAGATAGCAAAGTAACTTTTTTTTGCACTGAAGAAAATTATAGCCTTACAATTTATCTTTTGATTAAAAATTAGAGTTAATATTTGGGTTTATTCTAATGTAAATATTCACTTTTGTGATAAACTACAACTTTGGTAGTTGTTGTGGTTTTTCCAAATACATGCATTATCCAATAACCTGATAGGCAAATTCTCTGAATTAAGCAAACACCTGGTTTGTTGCTGTTTTTTTTCCCCCTCTTCAGCAACTTTTATTACTCAGAATTAATCAAGTTCCAGAGGATTACTGAAGTATAGTTTATTATAGGTCAAACTCTGGGGATTCAATTTAGCCTAGATTTATCCCAGAACAACTTTGTTTCAAAGGATCTTAGTTAAACCATTTCTTTTTCCTTTTTTTGGCATGATATAGAAGATGAGCTAGAGAGTTTCTTGTGAGTTTTGAATCAAAATTTATGTGATCACCTGTGAATTTTACTAGATCCATAAACCTCCAGTTATGTTATAGCCTAAAACTAAAGCTCTGGGGGAACTGTAGATGTAAGTGCACCCTGGCTCTCCCTAGTATTTAAGCCTTTACCTGTACATTTGGAAGGTACATGGAGGAAAATTATAATCTTGCTTTGGTTATGCTACTATCTGTATAGAGACGGATAATGATGTGTAAAATCTTTGAAAACATCTACCGCTAAGCTTTTGGCATATAAATATTTAAGACTGGGAGTATTTTCTTCTTGTGTTGTTCCTCATAATACTACTGATAGAAGTAAAGTCTCTATGAGATTTTGAAACCAGACCTGACCCAAATGGTTTATCTGAAACAAGAATGTTTTTGGGAATGTAGCCAATGAACAATATGGCTCTTTGACTTATTTAACTCCTTGTGTTTTTATGCTTTCTGTCATTTCTTTAGACAGTCCTTTTGGGACTAATACTTTAATTAAACATGTTGTGTTGTGTATGTTTATAAGAGAAAGAGAGGAAGAGTACAAAAAAATATGGAGAGGCAAAGAGGGAAGAGAGAGAGAGAATTAGAGAGAGGAGAGGTAAGAAAGAAAGGAGGAAGCACACTTGATGTAGGTATGACTTGGCCGGGTGAGCTTAAAGGTTTCTGAACCCAATAGACTGAGTTTGTGAAAAGTTTTTACGTTTAAAAACTGTTATAGAAATTGCTGATATGTTCTTGAAAATTATAATGCTAATGAGAAAGTAATTATAGTGGTTTTCTTTTTTCTTATTTCTTATCTTCCTCACCTCCTTTTCTCTTCCTTTATCAAAATGAATTGATGTAGTGGATCAAAAATTTTAAGGCATCAATGAGATTTTTTTATTTTAAGAGTTATTTAGGCTGGCGCCGCGGCTCACTAGGCTAATCCTCTGCCTTGTGGCGCTGGCACACCGGGTTCTAGTCCTGGTTAGGGCGCCGGATTCTGTCCCAGTTGCCCCTCTTCCAGGCCAGCTCTCTGCTGTGGCCAGGGAGTGCAGTGGAGAATGGCCCAAGTCCTTGGGCCCTGCACCCCGTGGGAGACCAGGATAAGTACCTGGCTCCTGCCATCGGATCAGGGTGGTGCGCCGGCCGCAGTGCGCCAGCCGCGGCGGCCATTGGAGGGTGAACCAACGGCAAAGGAAGACCTTTCTCTCTGTCTCTCTCTCTCACTGTCCACTCTGCCTGTCAAAAAATAAAAAAATAAAAAAAAAACCAGAATGCTAAAACATATGATATGATATTACAGTATTTAACTTTCAGTACAGGCCTTCAAATCTATTTATACAGACTATCATGTCACTGAGTATAGTTGCAAAAAAAAAGTCTAAGGAAATAAAGCATCATATCATTGAATAATATCAGGTAGACTTCCTCACAAGTTTAAAAGAAGCTCAGAAGATAATTAACAGAATATTTTTTACAAACACAGAAGTGAAATGAGCATCTATTTCAAAATATGAGAAGCACTGAATTCTTTCACATATGTAAGAATAACAAAATAATGTTCAAAAAAGAAAGTGCACTGTACTAAAACAAAAAAAATGCTCGTTGAAACATATTTAATCCTTAAAACATAAATCTTCTGCTGGAAATACAGGGAAAGACACAACTAAATTCATTAACTTTTACTTCTTACATTAACACAAAATCATAATTAATTTCAAAAGTCTTGTTCAAATAGCCCCTTACAACACATTATGATCTTGCATGATATCAGAGAATGCTAATACAACTTATTTTGAATTGGCCTACATTTTTGCAACTTTAAATATATCAAAGATTTCCCTAAGGTCTCAATTGGAAGCAAATGAATTTACTACCATATGTAACAGTAACAACTGTTGAGGCAAAAAAAAATCTGTAATGGAGAAACAGAAGAGTCTTCAGTTAACAAAACTGAGATCTACAAAAATGTGAAAAGACTGGAGTGGGAGATGTATAAAGTAATATCATGAAACAAAAGAGCAGTGACTGTGGGGGAGGGAGGATTTGAGGTTAAGCAGTTTCAGTTTATCAAAGAGCAGTCAAGATAAGTACCTAAAGTTGGGTTTAGTGATACTTTATACCCATTGCCACTTCCCACCAAGGTTGCACGTTATCAAAGTATCTCCTCTCTCCTTTACACCTATATGCAAAACACCAAGTGCGAAAT